TAGATTTGTTAATGCATTGGAAAAGCATTCATTGGACAGACATCTCATTTCAGACATACAGTAAGACTTAAAGATAGATCAAACGTTAGGCTCTTTTAACTGATTCTTATTATAAACCATAGATAAGTATATTATTAGATATAAAATACGTAAATATTATACTAAGTTATTATTAGAAGTATAGTTCTTTAACATCTATAGACACACTAATAAGTTACTATTCAACTGTCTATCAAATGATATTTTCAAATGATATTTATACTATTGTGTATTCTTACCAAACATCAACATATTGTGTACAGTACTAGCCAAATTACTTACTTAACTAATTCATATATAAATATAACTTATTGTAAATAACTTCAAATATACTTACATAATAGTACACAAAAATATATCTAGAATCACATTCTTATGTAATGTTGTTATGTAATTATATCGTATACAATATCATTTGCTAATAGCCTAAATGAATTTCCAAGTATTTTATATTAATATTTAAATAACTAAAATTCTACAAAAGCTTTTAACATTACTATTTATAAATATTCATTAAGTTAGACCTCATTAATGTTACTAAACTTTAATTAGTCATTTAAAACTTTAAATTTTATAATTAAATTATAAATTCCTTAAATCTAAAATTTCCCACGCATTGAAATTTATTTAACATTTAGCAATATCGTTAAATATTGGTGATAGTATTTCTGACATTTATACGAAGTATTACCGGTAATAATCATCACATTTATAAATTATATATTTGATTTAAATTAAATAGTTTTGACATTTTATTTGAAATTTATAAGTTTTAATGTTTATAATGATAGAAAGTACAGCAAATGTTAATTTTCTACTTGCTATTTACTAATTTTATAATAAATTATAATTAAAATCAAATTCTATTTTCTATTCCTTTAGGAACTGCTAAATTTGAAGTCGAGGTAAATATCATAATCACATGCAATAAACTTTAAATTTAAAGCATTAAAAATCATATTAATTAACAATTAATGGAAAATTAGTTAAAATTCGTGAATTATAATATCGACGATATGTTTGAAAACAATCGCTTCGACGACGTGTTGGAGATATTTCGGGACAAACTGTGGAAAGAGAGTCGAGACGTGTATATCACTCAAATTGCTTCACCTCTTGATGTCGGCGGAAGATTGCCATTAGATCCGCGAGAAAAAGAAGGGTTTGTTTAACTGTTTTTGACAGTTAATTGCTTTTTGATAATTTTGAAAATAATTGTATTCCACTCTAAAGTGTTATTATAAGGATCGGTAGTATAGATGACTATACGCGAGATATACTAGACCTGGAGCGAGAGGTGGATCGCATTAAGAATCGTAATCCCTGTCCCCGAAAATATAAAGCAACGACCGCTGAGTATATGTTTAGAAATAAAGGCTTTTACAGCGATTGGTGTAGTTTTCAACTCATTCGTGCCGTAAGTGTTGTTTAGTATTTATTATTCAAATCTATTAATTAGATATTATTAATCTAGAAAATTATTATCCACACTATTGATAACTGAATCTATAGTACATTATAGTAAATGTGATGTATTTATTTATTTAACATTAAAGCCTTAGGAATCGTATTTTTATAGATTATAAAAATTCACCACAGAATACATATAAATATTATATTTAATAAATTCACAAAAACATTTCCTTATGTTAAATGTTTGATTATTAAATAAGTTTTTAAGCTTAGTTTTCATTACAAAATATCTCTAAATCAAATATAAAGTTAGTGGAAAAGTTAAGTAAAATTTGCACCAAATTAGCATACAGTGAGAAGTGTAGTATACAGTACTGTATGCATAATTTTCAAGTAATGTTCAAATTCTCTAATATTTAACACAAGCGTTCAATTATTTTAGATTTGCATAAAATTGTGACTGATTTGTTAACAGTCAGGTTACAAAGTTATGCACTTTTCTATATTTACACAAAAATATTAAGAATGTATATGTAAATTGTTGCATACATTTGCCAAGGATCTAAAAATGTAATCTAATTCAGACTTCCATAATATTATATAAGTTTTTCAAAATTAAATAAAATGTCAAGTAACTTACGGCAATGTCAAGTTCAGTGTCTGGCCATGAATTTTGATTACATTTTTGTGGAATATGTGAATTCATAAGCATTTTCATAGCATAGACCTAACAATTTGTGTAATTTCTTAATTTTGTAACAAACATGATTGAAAGTTTTAACAAAAAATATTTACCATAATTATATGAAACATAGCTTCCATGTCAACTAACTCACAATTGATCGATGATTGTCATTGAAATTTTATACCATTATATTGTACTCCCCATTAAATAACATGATTGATAGAATTTGTAATTTATTTTTAATAAAAATACTAAAATAATAAAATGACTAAAACACTGATTTTGTTTATTCTTAAGTTGCTTTGCTATGAAATAACACAAATAATGTTAAGTGTTTCAAACTAATTAAATAAAACTTTTTTATACAAAGTTTTTCATCAAATAAAGTAAGAGTACAACTCTTTTTGCAAGTTCAGCACAAATAATATTTAATTAAAAATTTAATGTTAAATAATATATTTTGGTAAATAACCACTAAAGTTGCATTTGTTTTGTTTCATGATTTATTACATGTTTTGTTGTGTAAGCCTTTAATCATAATTGCATTTCCTTTTTAATTATCGATTTGTTTTGATGTGTTTACATGTCTTCATTCATTGCTTTTTATGAATTATGACTTTCGATAACTTGTTTACTATATTAACGGAAGAATTGTTTATTAAAGTATCAAAGATTGTATTCAGTCATTGTTTGGCACTTCATTATGTTTTGCGAACATATGTCTCAAATATCTTCATCGAGTAACTGAGACTCTAATCAAATATATTTGTATTCATTTGAATTGTTTGTCTGATTTGATACGATATGATTAAAGAGCTCAATTGGACAGCCAGTGGAACCGGTACTGAAAACCGATATTCCCGTATCATTTGCACCCAATGACGACAATTTCTATGACAATTACAAGCCTTTCGGACAGTCGTATCCGAGTCGTGATTATACGGTCGATCTAATAGTATGTTTCGCCATCCCTTTCCTAATCGCAGCGATGATTGTCTCGTCTCTGACGTGTATTTTCTTCTATAATAATGAAGACCTGAGTAAAGGGTGTAATGAGACACCCGTCCAATTAGAGCAGTATAATAGCATAAGTCGGGCCACACTTAGACTCAGATCTTTAGCACAGAATCGTTATTATTCTGTGGCAGATGTATACAGTCTATCCTCACTTCCGCCAAAACTACCCCTACATATCACAGGAACGTCTACTTTGCCTAAAGCCATGTCGCTCGCCAAGTATGTCATCCGTCTGTTTCTCACATAAATTGATATTAAATAAATAATTATAATAAAGAAATCTATCATAACATGTCTGTTATCTTAAGAGCTAATTCGTTGCACATATGATATAATTGATGTGTTAATCAAAACAATCTTTGTTTTCCAGAACTAGTAGACCAGTGATGAGGGCTCACAGTTTCCATCAAATGTCATCCTGTATTGATACCACCTTATAATCATCAGTCATATTATTCATCAATATAGTATTACTGTTATATTAACACATTTTAATTGTTTTATTTATTTTATGCAAGTAATTTGATTTTAAACACAGGCAACTATTGTCAAAACAATTTAATAATTTAAATTATCATAATATTATTGTGAAACATTATAAATTATGCAATCAACTGTATTAGATACAAATTTTGTAGAAGATCTATAGTTATAAAATATTTAAATACCTGTAAAATCCGGATTTTATTTTAAGATTTAGTATAATTTGAACATTTAATATTAAATAAAATTCTTATACAGTATACCTTTAGAGTTATAAGTAGGGATTTAAAAAATTTAAATTACAAAATTACATTACTAAATTACATAAATTACATAAATTACAATTTTTAAATTGAATAAATTTAGCATAAAAGCTGTTTAAAAATTATATTAAATACTGAATTCAATAATATTTTAATAAATATTTTAAAAATACATTATCAATGTTAAAATATAAGTTACAAAAATTACTGTAGTTTATTTAATTGAAATAAATTAAATCGAAAAAATATAAATTACTGTAATTTTTAATCTCTAATTATAAGTCAAATTAATTATAAAAATGTGACAACTTTTATAAAACTTTTATATAACAGTTAATATATTCCATTAGTAAAATTTATGGTTGACATTCAAGCATAGTAAAGTACAGAATATTCTACCTACAGAATAACGTATATATAGCATCTACTGTAGAATTGTAGGTCTAATGTATTAATTGATGTCTAAACAGAGAATCTAATCATAAAGTAAAATTTTGTATGGAAATAGTATAGCTACTATGCATTCATTCTTTATATTCGATGAGTGATAAATCAATGTGATCAGTGACAAATCATGTTTGTCATGTTTGTCGTGGGTGTTAGACTAATGGCAAATAATTTATATATCATTACACTGTATTCACTAGATCTGATAAATATTGAGCATATGTTTAGATATAAGCTTTTATACGAATTCACTGCAAATAATCATTTGTTTTACAAATAAAATAGCTTTTATTTACTTATAAAATTGTTTGTACAAAATAATAAATTTAAATCTAAGTTGTTTGAAGTGCCAAATGATTATTTGAAATTAATTAAAGAATTGAATAAATTTATTGTAATTAATACTCGAGTTTTAGATTATGAAAAGTGTTTTAAAAATATTTTTTAAATTGACAGTAAAATAAAGATAACTTAACTCCGGAGATTAAATTATCACCCAAATGGTGACATATATTTTTCAAACAATTATGACAAAGGAATTGAAACTCATTTTTTAAATTGTCATTCATGATGTATTAAGTTATGAAAAATATTTCAAACCTCAAAATCAAAACTATTACTCTAATTACTTTTCTAACTAATAATAAATAAATATATAATATTTGTAAATCAAAATTTCAAATAAAGTTTACTTTAAAAATGTTTAAAAACTTGTGTCAAATCATAGCTCACACATAAGTCTCAGTATGTAGTGTATTGCTAAATAGTACATATTTACATTTTAATCAATATTTAACCTTTGACCCATAGCTTTGGTCAGTATTAAATTTTGACAAATTTTGACATAAAACCTGTTTTGATTTGGTTTGTGTATTGATTCTCTCAGACAAATAACTATATATAATTTGACTCTTAACAATCATACATTTATTCAATGAATAAGCATTCAATTGTATTTATTTGTATTATTGTAGTATTAGTCCAACTTCCAAATGTTTTCACAATCACTTTGAAAACACCTTTGAAATTGGCTTTAAAAAACATATAGGAAATAGAGTTTATACCGTAATATAAATAACTAAATAACTATACTGTACATACGAATATTCAAATTTGTCAACAAGTTTGTAGTCAAATCGATATGTCTAGGAAATAATGTTTCTGAAATAACATAGACATTAGATTTACATAATTTTGATTTTAGAAAAACACGTTTTCAAAAATATATTAAATCTATATGAAAATAGTACAATACTGAAAATGTTTTCTTAATATTCTACATTTAATTATAAAGTACAGTATGTAAGAGTTATATTTTTCATAAATATATAAAAGCATGAAAGTAAATTATTAATTAATTTGACTAAAATTTGTATACGGCATAGATCATAAACATACAAGTAATATTAAAACAAGTAAGTTATCATGTTGTTCATATTGTATTTGAACTTTTGTTTGAATTAATTTAAGTTGTTATACATTAAACATATTTATTGAGACAAAAAAAGAGGAAATAAGTTGCAGAATATTTATCTTTAAAGTAAGCTTGTGCATTTTTAAGAAAGTTTATAATGTTTATAAAAATATTATACTTTTACAATAATTTATATAGACTATACTGTACTATTAGTTTAAATACAGAAAATCATTTACAAGTTGTATTCATTAAATTAGTTTTTGCTTTGTTTTACTTGAATAATCTTTGATAAAATATGTTTTTACTTATAATAAATGCAGAAATGTGAAGCCTCTAGTTTCTAAAGTAATAAAAATATAAATAAAGTGATATATTACATAACATATGCATTGTCTAAAGGTGATTTTATTTGTGTCTGATATTCATAATGAACATAATTTATAATCAAGTCTGTGTTTACTCTACTGCATGTCCTAATCATTTGCCTACAAATGCCTCAAAGGAATTACTTCAATGGGGTTCCGAATAAAGTGATGTTGTCCATGCTATTTTTGTAACAAACTAATTTATATTTAATTAAATTCCACGTATTATGTAATTAATTATTACAGATTTTTTTGTATGATAGTTAATTATAAATTTTGTTGCTGTTTAACCAAAAAATAATATAGTAAGTATATTATTTTTAAGGGGTTTTCAACTATTGTTATACAATAAAATGGCATATCTTAAATACATTGTACTTTGTACTGTACAATAAAACTTCGATTCAGTCACAAAAATGTGGTCTGGCTACATTGTATTACAGGGAAGTGGGTTATAGGGAGCAGTTTATTAAAAAATATTAATGTTATTGCTGTTAACTGGTGTTATATTGCATTTATATATTTTTTAATTAACAAAACTAATTTTTACAATTTAAATTACAATTTGGAAAACACATTATAACAGAGTATAAAACATAAAATTTTAATGCTTTATAAATAATTAATGTCGACTTTATTGAAATATATTAAAACAATTTTTTAATTAGCTATTTGAGTATTTATAATCTTAAAAGAAATTTTCTAGCATTTATAAAGATTATAATATTATATCTGACTAGAACTTTAATGATTAATTTTAATATTAAAAATACTTGCTTCATATTAAATGCATTGTAAATTAAACAGTTATATTAAATGAAAGCTGAATTTTGGTGTAATATCAATGTACCAGATATAAAATAATATTTTCATATTCTATATAAAAATTAGAAAAATGAAAAATTATAATAATATTTGTGAATTATAAAATGTTATAAAATTATTTGCAATATTTGAGAAGTTCACTCTTGAAAAACACAAATTAATAATTAATAATTGATAACTTTATGAAAAAGGCTGTCATCTGAGTCTAATTTAATATGTGGATCTCAGTATCAATCTAAAATTCATTCAATAAATATTTATATACAGTAGATAGGATAAAGATATTTAAAAATAAAATATTTTTAATTAATGAACAATAATAAAAAATAATAAAAACAGAAAAAATCAATTGCACATTCTATAAAGCGTTATTAAGTATTTTCTAATGCAGTATCAATATAAATAAATAAATCAATTTCTAAGTCTCGACAATAATAAAAGATAAAAAACTAAAATAGATTTAAAATTTGTTTTTGAAAATAAAAAATGTTTAGATTTTTACTTTAGAGTCTTAGTTTGCTTTACAAATAGGAGTTTGCGTTGAAGTGAACGAAACAAAAATTTGATTTAAATCTAAAACTGATAAACATACTCGTTTTGGCCATTAGTAGAGTGTTTATACATTTATATGACATTTGAATGTAAACACGATCTGAATCTTAAAGAATATTTTCTCTAAATCTTAAGTATAAGACGTTTCCTATCGATTGATGAATA